GTTGTTTTTGTCTTCTACTTATGAATGAGATCATACAGTGTTTGACCTTCTCCCTCTGACTTATCTCACTCAGCATAATACCATCAAGGTCCATCCACATTGTCACAAATGGCTGGACTTCACCATTTCTTATGGCTGAGTAGTATTCCATTGTGTATATATATCACATCTTCTTTATCCATTCATCCCTTGATGGGCACCTAGGTTGCTTCCAAGTCTTGGCAATTGTGAACAATGCTGTGATGAACACAGGGGTGCATGTATATCTTTATGCATGTGTGTTTTCAAGTTCTTTGGATAAATACCCAGCCGTGGAATAGCTGGATCATATGGTAGATCTATTCTTAATTTTCTGAGGATACTCCATACTGCTTTCCCTAGTGGCTGCACCAGTTTGCACTCCCACCAGCAGTGTACGGGGGTTCCCTTCTCTCCACATCCTCTCCAACACTTGTTGTTTCCTGTCTTGTTAATTATAGCCAATCTGAGGGAGTGAGGTGATATCTCATTGTAGTTTTGACTTGCATTTCCCTGATAGTTAATGATGTTGAACATCCTTTCGTGTGCCTTGTGGCCATCCGTGTATCTTTGGAAAAATCTCTGTTTAGATCTTTTGTCCATTTTTTAATTGGATTGTTAGTTTTTCTGTTGTTGGGATGTATGAGTTCTTTGAACATTTTGGATATTAACCCCTTATCAGATATACGGTTTGCAAATATCTTCTCCCAATTGTTAGGTTTAGACTCTAAATTCTGTACAGGTAGTGGCTGTGACCATTTTGGTAATTTTTGTATCCCCAGTGCAGAGTGTCTGACACATAGTAGGCAGTTTCTAAACATTTATTGACTGAGTGAGCAAATGAATAGAGCATTTATTGATTGAGTACTTGTTGAGTGTTTCTTAGGTATTACCTCCTTTAATCCTCATGACATACCTCAAGGCAGGTTTTCTTATTTTATAGATGTTTAAGCTGAGGTAATTTTTCCAACAAAATATCCAGATGGTCAATAATCAGGATATTCTCTTTGTTTGGAATGAAGTAGCAGGTGATTGAGTGTCTTGTACTTTTCTACTCTTTTCACCGTGTGTTTTGAATCAGACGTTTTGTAAGGAGTGGATATTATCCAGAATCCCTACCACCTTTAGTTTCTGCTTTATCTGTAGATTCTTTACTTACACATTCTTAAGATATTTTAAGGCTATTTACTATTATTTACCATTTGCTTAAAAACCTTCTTTCTCAAACATAGTTTTGCCTTTTTCTGTATTGATAAGATTTGACCCAAATTCCTTTTCCAGAAAGTTGGCTTCCATTCGAATTGGAAACACAAGCCAGATTCTAAAACAAAGAAGTTCAAGTGAATATTTCTTTTCTTTTCTTTCTTTCTTTCTTTTTTAAAGGTATGCTTTTTTTTTTTTTTTCGGTGAAGAAGATTGGTCCTGAGCTAACATCTGTGCCAATCTTCCTCTATTTTGTATTTGGGTTGCTGTCACTACATGGCTTGATGAGCGGTGTAGGTCCATGCCCAGTATCCAAATCCATGAACTGGGGCCGCTGAAGTGGAGCATGCAGAACCCAACCCCTATGCCACTGGGGTGGCCTTCCCTTAGACATTTTCAAGTTGAAATAGTTAAGGAGGACTGGGTGAATGGCTGGAGGGCAGAAGGGAGGTCTAAACTCTTTACCAGAAACGGTTGTACAGCCCAGAGCTTCAATGGGACCAGAATGCTGTAGGCCCCTAACCTTCAGTTTCTTCATAAAACACTTTCGTCATCATTGGTAAGTATGTTCAAGAGAAGGAGTCTAGCTCTTGAGTTAAGACTTAACCTGCTGCCTTATAGTACCTGTGGGCTGGTCAGTTTGCTCTCTTGGATTCACTGGAAGACAAAAATCCTGATGGCTGCTGACTGGATTGACAGTGACTGAGCCCCTATTTGGTCTCATTTCATAGCTTAATTCCAGTGGTGCGTTGACAGCCTTGCCGTTAGGTGTTGACTGCACCTTAACAAATCTTAAAGCTCAGCAGGAAACAGTCTAATTAAGACAAAGGGGATAAATTTCTTTTCCTTCTATTTGTCTTACCTAAAAAGACTACAATTAAGGAATTATAAAATAGGTTCTTTGGAAGTAAGCTGATCGCCTAAACTGAACTGCTGAACAATTCAGTGTAGTAAGAAAATCCAACTGAGTTGTCATTATAAATGTCCCATTTGTTCTCAGGATGGAGGTTTGATTCTTAGTTTTCTCTTTTTTTTTTTTTTAAAAACAACTCTGATTTTTTTATTTCATTTTTTTTGCAGTAACATTGGATTATATAACATTATATAACCTTCAGGTGTCCATTGTAATATATTTCGAATTCTGTGTAGATTATATCATGTTCACCACCCAAAGACGAATTACACTCTATGATTGTTAGTTTTCAACTTAAGAGTATCATTAAAATTTTGCTCATCATGAGCACAAGCTAACTCCTATTACTGTTATATGGGCTATTGGTGTTACCCGGTACAGGGTCCTGCCAGTGGGGGATAAAATTCTTTTAGTTCCTGTCATCCACCTGGTATCAGGTGTATTTGATTAGACCAATAATAGCTCGTATCTCCTTGTGTTATGAGGAACTGCTTTCTTGTTTGTCTTTCCCATTTGATCGGCAGATCTTTGAGGGAAAGATCGACATCTTCGGCATTTTCCAGTTAATTTCAAATTGAACTTGAAATGCTTCATTGCAGCTGGGACTCTGTTGCTGGGTAACAGTGATGCCATGGGTCTGGGGACTGACCTATTTAGAGACACGGGGCTGCTCTGAGAGCAGTCTTTTCCCCGGCCCGTGTGCCCTAGCCTCAGGCCGTTGACACCATGGCTCTTGGACTTCTCTCAGAAGTGTTGGGGGTATCTTGACCTGCAGTGTCTTCATTTTCGTGATCTTTGTAACAGAAATAATTTGATGGAAGAAGGATGGAGGACCAGGAAGTCCCAAACTAGGGGTCCTTCCTTAGGATGGCAGGCTGGAATGGGCTGCTGGTGGGGTCTCTGGGTGACCAGGGACCAGTCCAAGGCTCCTGAGCACTGGGGAAGTACAGGTTATTATTGAAAGAAGGAGAACTAGACGGGAAAGGAGGGGGGTTGCCAAAGACCAGACCCCGGCTGTAAGGTTTTGCATAGGGAGCCCTGTGTATCCTGCCCAGAGCAAAGCTTGTGTCTAATGAGATCATGAGTGGTGTGAAAATGAACTCACTAAATTCAGGGTCACTTGGTGGCTTATGAGAGTTCCAACTGCCTAACTCACTCCTGTCTTAGGAGTGCTTATAAAGCAGGATCAAGGTCATTTTGGAAATAATGAATTAAACAAAAAAATAAAACAGAAAATACCCCCAATAGCTAATTGTTAGCTCCCCAGGCACTCATGAACTAAAAGCTTGTCTGCTTTCCTGATTGTGGAGCAGAACTGATAAATAATAGTAAGAGCTTGCACATAGCACTTCGTGGTTTATGAAGCACCTTCATTTACATCTTTTCAGTACTCCAATAAAGCAGGTATTCAGTTGTTATCCCCCATTTATAGATAAGGACACTGATGCCTGGAGAAGTTACTTGACTTGCACATGTTTACGTGGCTGGTAAGAGGTGGAGGTCAAGATCAGACCGCAGGCCCTCCTGGCTTGAGATCCATGGGCTCTTCTGGGTTAACCTGCCTTGCACATTTCCCAGGAGAGCAGATCAGGCTTAATCGTTCAGGGCTTTCTCTTGCATGGCCATCCTAACCTAAACATTTCAGGATTACTTCCTGCATTCGCTTTTGACCTTGGTAAAGTTAGTTGTTTAAAGGTGGTGAAGGTTTGGGCTGATAGGGAGTCAGTAAATTATGGCTTCTATTTCTGGAATCTGGTGTTTATTAAGATTTTCCTGGCTGTCGCTGGGGTTCTGCTGTTTGCACAGTGTTTTAGTGCGGGGGCAGAAGCAGATTATAGTGCTGAGAGGTATTTATGCAGCTTGCAGAAATTTGAAGCCCTATTGTTGTCTTGACCAGGTTGTGCTTCTTGGGTCCCTGTGTTCTTAGAAAGAGAAGCTGCTCATGGAAGTATGTGGCACCCTTAGGTTGAAACTTGACTGTTTCCAACAGGTTCTCTAGGGTACTCCACAGATCATGGGGGTGGCCTTCACCACCGCTTCGGTATAGGGTCGGCTTGGCTTACTTCAAGTAATCATTACCATTATTAATTATTAACAATGGGTGCCACTTACTGAGCTCCATTCTGTGCCAGGCACAGTGCTACACACCATATATACATTATCTCCATTTCTGAAAACCAGCACATAAAAAAGGCATTGCTCCATTTTACTGGTAATGGGATCAGAGAGGTTAAATAACTTACACAGGTCCTAAAATTGTCACTTAAAACTCGGTTAGTTTCACTCTTGTATCTGAAATATTAGTAATGAATGTTCTATAAAAAGTTAAAAATGTGCAGAATTTTATGAGTTCTTCTTATGCACCGTGGTCAGTAAAGACCTTTCCTAGAGAACGTGCCTAAGTCTGGGACCTTTCTGAGCATGTTGCTATTCCTCAGGCCTTCTGCTCCAGGGGTGGCAGGTATGGGTGTGGCTATCCCTGAGATCCTTTCTTTGCTGGATGCTGACTGTGATGGGGGCAGGCAGAACAGTCCCGTGCAATTCTGACCTTATATAAGTCTCTTTGACCACGCCATTTTGATCGATTGAACTTATCATTTCCTACATCACTTCTGGATCAGTGAATTGAAAGTTTTCATAATTCTCCTAAAAGGTAGATTTTGACCCAAGGGATTTATTCACCTTCTAGAATGCCCTTCAGGGAGGCAGACTGGCTCTTTAAATTAGCATCTTAGAGTTTTTGCAATAACTGCTGCTCTGCTTTCCTATATGAGTAATTTCTCTCAGGAAGTGACTTGAGTCTTTGGGAACGTCTGGCTCAATACTCCATCGGCCCAGCTGGCTTAGGAAAAGTGGTGTTGGTGAGGCAGCTGTGGTGGAGTGGACTTGACCTGGAGGTAGAAGACTGGGCTTCAGCCCTAGCTTTACCAGGCAACCGGCTATATGGCTTTGGTAAGTTCACCTATCTTATTAGTGCCTCAATATCCTTAATCTAAATTCTCATATGTGACCCAAGTTTCAGCTGCTTGGATGATGGACCACAAATCCTCTAGCGCTCTGGAATGACCCTTAAAAAGCATCTACATCAAATATCTTGATTTCCTAACACATACAATGTGAGCATGTTGTTGCCAGTATTTTTATTTGAGTAATTTTCTTTTTTTGATCGAAAGAATGGGAGAGCTTAAGTTTCTCCTGATGCAGGTTACAATGAAGCCTGCTTCTCTCTTGCCCCTATTTCAGAATTTCCTAAAAACTACACCAACACAGAATGGTTGTGTGTAGCAGGTACATTTCATGAATGTTTGGGGGTAGTGAAGAGGGTTTGTGGGGTTGTTCCATCCCAACATAGAGAAGTAAACAACTTAAAGTTGAATCTTAGACATCATCATCTTAAATTCTCTGGCCGCCTCCACCCACTGGTGTCTCCTCAGGGCCCTGCCAGCAGCTCCGCTGCTCAGCCCACTTCTGTCTCCCAGCATTTTCCTCCTGTAGTCCACATCAGAGTAGCCCAAATCTGTGCCTACCCCTTCTTGCAGGGAAATACTGGAAATTTCTGTCCATGTATTATAAAGGCCAGTTTAACTCTTCTGTGTTTGAATTTCTACCTTCTAGGATCTGCTCAAGGTGAGAGTGGCGGCGCTTACTTTTAATAACCAGACAAGTTCATTAAGGTGTTTCTCAAACGAGAAAGAGTCTAGTGTGTGGAAGAAGTTTTTTTTTTTGTCCGTTTGTTTTGATAGCAATCGGTTTATTCTGTGAATATATTCATCTTCTCTCCCTACAGTCCACGCTCCACACAGCAGGCAGTGATTATTCCAAACACAGGTCAGACTGTCTCCTTTCCTTAAAACTTTTCACAGTTCAGAGTAAATTCAAAGTTCCTAACGTGTCCTTCAGGGCCCAAAGTGCTGCTACTCTGGGTTCCCTTTCTGACCTCTGACCTGCCGTGACCCTTCTCTCACTGTGCTCCAGCCACAAGGGCTTCTTGGGACCAGCCAAGCTCCTTAAAGCTCAAGGCCTCTGCAGTTTCCTCAGAGAGTCAGCCTGCCGCTCCCCTCACTCCTTTCAGTTCTCTGATCAAATGTCTGGGAGTCAGGGAGACCTTCTGCGACTGCTCTGTAAAATTGCACCCCTCCGCCCCTCCTTTACCCTAACATATTATTATTTAGTCCTTTGTATAATTACATGTTTCTCTTGTGTTTCCATGCACTAGGGGGAAAGCCCTAAGAGTAGAGTTTTGTTACTTTTTTCTGGCTTAGCTCTCTTTCCGCATCTCCTGCAACAGTGCCTTCACACAGTCGGCCCTGGATACATATATACAGAATGAATGAATGAATGAATGAATGAATGAATGAATTTGTTCAGCCAACAGATGTTTCTCGAGCACCTGCACGTGCCAGAGCCTGTGGTATCTATCTTTGCCGATTACGTTGTGAGAATTAGTTATGCAAGGATGTTTCCTTAAATGCAGTGTTCCTCAGATGGAAAGCCTTGTTACTTCGCGTTCCCCACCCCGCTTCCTTTTTCTCCTCACTTCTAGGTACCCAAGAGGCCTGTTGTTCTATGTTAGGAATTGGTCAGCTTTTTCTGTGGAGGGACGGATGGTAAATATTTTAGGTTTTGTGAGCCATACTATCTCTGTCTCGACTACCCGACTTGGCTATTGCAGCTCAAAAGTAGCCATAAGAGATAGGTATGGACGAATGTAACTGTGTCCCAACAACACTTTGGCCTGTAGTTAGCTAAAGTTATACTTTCCTACTGGAAAGATTAAAGCTCTTTCACAAGTCAACGCAAAATTCGTTAGAGCAGAGTGTGATACCTTTCCTACGGTAATTGACATTTTAGCTGATCCTGGGGGAGAAGGCTTCATTTGACACGGACCAGTGGCTAGTAGCGGAATTTGAAGAATCAGCAAAATGTCAGTGGGAAGATCATTTTGGGGGAGAAGAAACTTTCCCAGCCAACTTCCAACGGTATTGCTTATGCCTGAGCAAGGCCCACCCTGTTCCTCAAGAAGAGAGAAGTCAATCTAAAGAGATTTCAATCAGAAAACAAATGGGACACTAACCAAATCAGTCTAACTTCCGCTAAGTTCAAAGTGGTATGAAAAGTAAATGTTCTTTCATGATCGGATTTTAATACACTTACTAGTGATGATATGTGCCGTCTGACGGTTGCACAGGCCTTCATTTGCCAGGAGTCTTATATATCTCGTGGGAAGTGTGTCTCTCACTATCAGGCTGGATTACCACCCTGGTACTGGGCAGCTATATCTCAGGGTCAAGTTCCAAATTGTTTGTCTTATGGTTTATTTTTCATGGCTTTATTTGCTAGCAAAAGCAGTCTTTGTTGAGTGTTCTTGATAACACTCCTAAGTTTCTGGATCTGTAGACTGGCTCAAACTTTGTGGCCATAGGAGAAATTGTATTAATTTAATTGTTGGTTACAGGCAAGTCAATGGGTACCATATGTTCACTGTCTTATGCCAACTCTGGTAATTTGAAACATACCAATATTTGGCAGCACCAGAACAAACTTTTGGCTACTCAATATGTATGCGTATATGTGTAGTGTTTCTTTTACAAAAAACTAAGGGGAAAAAGAGGTGATGAGTCAAAGTATTTCATAAAACTGAGTTTCCACATATAGATTACAGAGAAAATGTGCCTCATTAGTAAGATGCTATTGTATTCTGGTAACCAAAATTGAAAACATATTTAGGAAATGTTCCACCACTTTTTTCAGGATTCCAAGTTCAGTCTGGACTGTGTGTTACTACTTTTTTTTAAGTTCTAGTGTTCATTCTTCTTGAGTGATAATCAGCTTTTAAGATTATGTTTCCCGATGGAACTTTGAACAGTAATATAATGCCACTGTAGAGATTTGGTTTCTTTGGTTTGATACAGAATGGATTTTCTTATCATGAGGCTGAGTGAAAACACATTCAGAAGCACACATTTGGTAAGAAGCAGAGAGACTAGAAAGGCTGTGCCAGAAAGGAAAATTTATTTTGGAACATTGTCCTGTCCAGTCAGAGGGAAAAACAGTGAAAGGTGGAGAGGGCAATTTATGGAGGAAAGTTCCTTTCTTAGCTTAAATAATCTTAGTAATAAGTTATTCCAGGGAGTTATAAGGTTATCTGTTGGTCTGGACTTTTTCCTTTGGCCTGTCACATTAGTTTTTTATCAAGTGAAAAATATTTTCAATTGTATTGCCTGGGAAAGAAATTTCTATGTATGTCCAATAAGATTACAAATATATGCACTTTAAACAGGCGTTTATCCATCAGACGGAATACTCAGCACATCTCAATCTTTTAAAATTTCTTCTTCCTCCTCTCTTTTTCCTTCTTCCTTTTCCCTTTTTCCTCTCTTTCTTCTCCTTCTATTTCCTTGAGTCTGTTATTAAAAATAGTAACATTGGACAGATATTTAGTTTTAAAATGAGATTTTATATAACTAGACCATTCACATAGTGTGGACATTAAGTGCAAAGCCAAATAGTTCAGTTAACATGAACATATGCCCTTCCTATTTCTAGAACAAGATGTATTACGTAAAACCCTGATTGTTTTTCCCCTTGACATCCAAGTTAGCTCTATTATGTTAGTATCAGCAGATGGGTTTAATCTGAGTAATTTTTCACTTTGGACCACCTCATGCTTTTTGCTGGGAGCCAAAAATGAGAGTCATCTCATAGAAAGGATTGCATAAATGGTACTCATTAGGGTTGTTTAAGAACTTGAGTGGATATGCCCAGTTGATAGTAAAATTAGAAAATAGGCAATAATTAAACATTATCAAAATCTCTACCAAAATGATTCCATGCCTCTGGATAGTATGATAAGAGCTAAATCAGATATTTAACTAATACGTTATTTGGAATTTAAATTTAGGGCAGTTTTCCTAGCCAAGTCTAACCGTTTAAATTATGCATATTTTACATAATATATTACTTTTCATTTTGATTTAGAGATTTGACAGCATTTTCGTCTTTATGATATAACTTGCTTGTCGTGTTAACTTTGTGAGATGGGCATATTGTCCCTGGTTTACTGGAATAGCAGCCCCCAAAGGTCAATCCAATCACTGGCTAGTGGGAGTGGAATTAGACCCGGGAACTAGACAGGAGTTGACACTCAAGTGTGACTCCTAGATTGTGACTTTTGGCATATGCTGTGTGAATTTGTGTATTTTATTTCAGAATGAACGTGAGTGGTGGCTTCTCCAATCTTGATTTAATCTAATGAAAACATTAGAAATAGCTAAAATGCTACATTCCTCTCATGGATGCTTACCTAACATAACATACTACAAAAAGTTACAATTAAAAAACCTGATGTATCATCTTCCTTACTTTAACAAAGAAAATTAGTTTCTGTTAAACTTTCCACATTGAAAACTATTTGTGGAATCATGTTGTTGGTATTAAGTTTTGATTTAGAGCTTTAGAGTCTCAAATTCTCTGTCCCTGTGAAGCTAGGTATGACCACTCGACCTGCTGCTGCCAAGGAAACGTGAAGAGGGGCCGTCGGGGTGGAGACATTGACGAGGCGGGCGTGCTGCTCCATGCTCTCGTCCTTTCGCTTTGGCAGTCATGGAGGCACATATTGGGATGCAGATGTCATTACACTGAGGCAGCCAGGAATGCCCAGCCAACACATGGAGGACAGCTGCCCTGGAGAGCATCCCGGACAGGCGAGGGACTCTGTCTGAACAAGGAGTGAACCTTTGTTGTTTTAAGTCACTGAAATTTTGGTTACTGCAGCATCCTAGTCTGTCCTGATCAATTAAAAGTGAAACTGAACGAACATAGCTTTTTTAATTTCCAAAAGGTTCCCACTGGGCCAGGAAGTGCTATTACCCCTTTTCAATACGCTCTTTTCCTCCCACAGCACCCCCAAAATCTGTGTTTTTGAGTAACAAGTGACCATAATATCACAGTTA